TTACCACAGCCATGTACTGTTAGAGGAGGTATCCCTGGGCATTGTGGCAGGGAAGTATCCCAAATACAGGGCTGAATTAGACTTTTGTGCTAAGTGGCCATCGTACACGTGGTTTAAAGTGTATCTGAATGCCAGCATAAGAGGAAATGGGTCCTCTCTAACTGTCTGGGTAAGACCACCCTGTGATTGATAGAATATCTCAGCACTTGGAAGTGTTGCTGTCACATGCTTTAGTTCTGTTAAAGTAGTGTATTAACGATTGATTCTATAGGACAACTGGAAACATATGCGGAGGCCTCTGTTAGTATATTGGAAATTGCTTCACACCTGTCCTTTCTAACTAGACAGTGGGAAAGGGGGCAGCAGAAGGGAGAAGAGTTTCTGGAAATAAGGAGAAGGGAGACATGGAACTACTAGCAATGAAATGCATGACAGTTAGTCCCAGCAAGAAAGCTCCTCTTCTTACAGCACGCTTCCCCCGGTGCATGGGGAGAGGAGCTTTGTATGTCCAGGCCCAGCCACGGTCCTTTGGAGAACTGTAAAATGAGGAAGGAGTCCCTTACCTAGCACGGTCAGCTGGTACACCTCGTGGAAATTCCCGTCTGTTCCTACTAGTTCGCAGGTGTAATCTCCCTCATGAGCTATTCCCACTTTCCATATCTCAAGGGCAGGATTCTGATCTGGTCTGAATTTCCAGTCCATGCCGTCACTGCAGTTTGTTCTGTCTGTCTTGTTCTGATCAGCCCTGTATCCCAAGGTGCAGTGGCCCCCAGCCTTGGGGTTTATTTTCCATGTTACCATAGTCATGTTTGATCTGGGAGGGCAGGCGAACACAAAGCTGTTACCTACTGTCGCTGACACACTGCTGTTGCCTGAAGGAGAGAAAGGAGAAGGACATGTGAGAAGGTGCCCGGGGATGTCACTCATAGCCCTGGAGTTCTGGTCTGTGCCTCACAGAGAAATGTCTGCCCTGCTACATGCCAGTGTGAGCCCCTGTCTCTGCTCGTCTGCAAATTTTCTGTCATCCTGTATTACAACTGTAGATAATGGAGACAGTGGCTTATCACAGCCTACCCTCTCAATACTGTCAACAGATTTTCCACTGGAGCTCCTCTTAGTGGATAAACCAGACACTGGAGGGAGACCCTACTCCTGCCCATTGTCTTAAGCAGTTCAGCATCTGAATAGTGTGTTTCTATTGGCAAATCCTCCAGTGGGTTGCCACTTACAGGCTTGAAATGAAAGAAATTTGACTATTGTATTTGGCCACATGATAGTGGCTTTTCTCTGGGACTGTTGCTACCTATGAAGTAAACAACTTCTACTTCTGCATTCATACAAAATCCAACACTGTGGCCAAAGGCCTTGTCTATACCTCTCAGACATGGCCACAGCATGAGTAACAATGGTGGAGCATTGTGTGACAGGAAAATTTTTGCATTTTGTCTCAGGGATGTTTTTTCATTTTCTGAATCTTTGTGAACATATATATTCACACTATGAGTGTACACAATGTGTACATATGCATTCACACTGTGACTGTACTTTTTTTACTGCAGCAGTCCCCATAGGACATGCGTGTAAGGCCTGCCCATCTTTATGCAAGGCATGCAGCTACGAAGGTGTAAAATACGCCCACATCCTTGTACCTTTTGCTCGCGCAGCTAAGATTGCAAAGAAACCTTTTTCAGTTGATGTATCCACAGTGTTCACTCTCTAATAGTGAGTATGTCTTGTTCTTGAATTCTATTTTGCATTTGCTTGTTCTGTTTTATTTTTTATCTTTCTGTGACACTGACTCTTCTTTGGGGTTTTAAAAGATTACTCTTGCTTGGACTCAGGCACAATACCTCCTCTCTCTATCTTTTCATGATCCATGAACTATGTACTTGAAGTTAGATGTCTGTATGGAAAAGCTTGGACCTAGTCCTCTTGTCTTTTTTAGAAGTTATCAAATTGGCCATTGAAGGGCAGAGAGACAGACCACTATTACAGCTCCTCTGTGTGCTGTGTTTATACAAGTTACAACCTCAGGATTGCCTTCAATTTTTAATTTTTTTTATTTTTTTCTTATGGATCCCTGAATTTCTTCTTAGCCAAGAAACTAACTTGCCCAGGTTTTCTTTTCCACAAGCTTTTAGGACTGATTTTTTTTTTCCCACGTATTGAACATGAGTCATGCTTGCTCTCTTTATGTTGACCAGATATGGAATCCCTCATCTGTCTATGTCTTCCACTGACACATCCAAAGAGTCAAGTTTCTAACCCCAAGATTCATTTCACTGTTTCCTTGACTACTGAGGCCTCTCAACATGATGCCACCTTTGGGACAGTCAGTTCTTTTGCTTTGTTTCAACTATCAGGACCTTCTCACAGAACCAGAGAATGGTTTGGGTTGGAAGATGCCTTAAAGATCATCTAGTTCCAACCACCTTGCCATGGTCGAGAACACCTTCCACTACACAAGGTTGCTCAAAGCCCTGTCCAACCTGGCCTTGAATACTTCCAGGGATGGGACATCCATAACTTCTCTGGGCAACCTGTTCCAGTGCCTCACCACCCTCACAGTGAAGACTTTCTGCCTTGTATCTAATCTAAATCTATCCTCTTTCGATTTAGAGCCATTACCCCTTGTTCTATCACTACATGCCTTTGCAAAGAGTCCCTCTCCAGCTTTCTTGTAGGCCCCCTTCAGGTACTGGAAGGCTGCTATAAGGTCTACCTGGAGCCTTCTCTTCTCCAGGCTGAACAACCCCAACTCTCTCAGCCTGTCTTCATAGGAGAGGTGCTCCAGCCCCCTGATCATCTTTGTGGCCCTTCTCTGGACTCGCTCCACCAGGTCCATGTCCTTCTTATGTTGGAGGTCCCAGAGATGAAGGCCATACTCCAGGTGGGGTCTCACCAGAGTAGAGGGGCAGAATCACCTCCCTCGACCTGCTGGCCACGCTTCTTTTGATGCAGCCCAGGATACTTATATATATATACTTTTACACACACACCACACATATATGTATATGAAACTGTATATATATATACACTTAATAAAGTATTCTGTGATAGGTTTTGTTCACAGTAAAGGTATATGTGGGCAAGCACTCAGAGCTAAAAGAAAGTTTACCTGTAACTGTTCTTTGGGATGAGTTGTTTACTGAATTGCATTACTGTTGCTTACACTTACATACGCAGCCCACCCTCCTTTGTGAGGCACTTTTGAGGCTGAGAGAAAACAAGAGTCTGAAACACAGGTTGCAAACCAGTGTGAAGAGTAAGTGAGGGAATGGGACTTTTTGGTACCTGCTGAAATTAAAAGCAAACAACCCCACAAATCTACAATGTATGTATGCGTATAAATAACCACCTGAGGAAGACATTACAGATAAATAACCTTTCTTTTTCAAAATCTCCTAGGTACAACAATTAATGAGTTAATAGGAGTAACGCCCATAGCTGTAGTCCAAGCCAGCCTCCATTTACCATGTTTTAGTGGCATTCTGAGAGCTGTGTGTGAGGAGAAAATCAGTACTACTTTCGAACCATGCACTAAGCTGGAAGGACAATAAAAGTTAGCCAACCTGATCTGTACTGACAAATGAGTTTTTCACAAATTATTCTAAATATGTTAAGCCCCTCTCCAAACCTTTCAAGCGGATATACTAAAGAAGCAATTGGAAGTTCAGCTGGAATGTGCAAAGAATTAGAAGACCTAAGTTTTGCATGGTTAATCAAACCTTTTTCAAGTCTTCCTCAGAGGTACCAGACCTGACTTTGTTGTGTTTCTCTATTCCCTACCCAGAGCTGGAATTCTATTACCTCTGCTGGCTGGCACAATGTGAAGCCCTGTTCCTGAACATTCACAACACTGTAAGAAATGACAGGACAAGGGGTAATGGTTTTAAACTGAAGCAGGGTAGGTTTAAACTAGATATAAGGAAGAAATTCTTTACAATGAGGGTAGTGAAAGACTGGAACGGGTTGTCCAGAGAGGTAGTGGAGGCCCCATCCCTGGAAACATTAAAGACCAGGTTGGACGGGGCTCTGAGCAACCTGATCTAGTTAGCAGTGTCCCTGCTCACTGCGGGAGGGTTGGACTAGATGACCTCTAGGTCCCTTCCAACCCAAAATATTCTATGATTCTATGATTCTATAATGAGCATCGACTTCAAATTGCTAGTCAAATCATTACTATTAATCTCTTTGAGAAAATTACAGTTGGTTTAACCTTAATAACATTATCTGAAATCCCATTATCTCCTGGAATCTAGGTGAATGAACCATTCTAGCTCAAACACTTTTCCTCCTGTCTAGCTGTGCTCTTGGGAAATTATTTCTAACTTGCAAAATGAACACAGTCCACTGCATTTTAGCTACAAAAACCTTTAAAGGTTTTTGCCTTTTCATTTTGAGGATTAAGTGTCCTTTGGATGAAGACATTTCCAAATGTAGACCTAGCTCCTTCAGATTGATAGGACGTGTAGCTGCAATATTGCCCTACACTACACCGAAGAGTGCTGTAATGTATTAGTTACTCCAGCTGTATAACATGGAAATCAGAGTGTAATTCTGAGAAGGGTTTTTTTGCTGGTAGAAGAGGAAAATTAGGTGAGGATAGTATTTCACTGAAGCCATCCACTTCCCATTTTTATGAAATAAAGAAAACAATATTTAGCTTCCTGCTGCTCAATACTGCCAGGATCAATTAATTAATGTTTCCAAGCACAGCTGAAGAAGAAAAGTGCTATCTATTCACACCATTTTCTGAAACATGAATTACCCACCAACCCCACAAATGCCTGTTCCCTTAATAAATTGTTAACAGTGTTCTGTGATGCATTATTACACTGGAAGTGTTTTTAAATGACAAGTTTTTTCTACTTAATGGCATTTCAAGATAATGTGAGGTGCATGTTTTAAACTCAGATGATTTTACCAGGAAAGGAACTGAAAGAAGCCTTTTGTCTTGTGATGGTTGCTGGATGTGATTTCTATGAATGTCTCTGAAAATTGGAGAACAAAGTGTTTCCTCTCACGGTTTAGCACTGCCAAGAGCCTTGGATGCCTAGAGTCATGTGATCAGTATGGCTGACCTCATCTGAAAATGACTAAGCAAACCTAAGCATTCAAACAGCCTGTGCGTTAGGGCTGGGGTTTCTTTGGGTAATGTTTGCAAATGTTGCGCAGGAATGATAATGTTCATAGAATCATAGAATCATTTGGTTGGAAAAGACCTTTAAGATTATTGAGTCCAACTGTACCTGTCCACTACTGAACCATGTCTCTAAGCACCTCATGTATCCATCTTATAAATACCTCCAGGGCTGGGGACTTGACCACTTCCACGTGCAGCCCATTCCAATGCTTGACAACCCTTTCAGTGAAGAATTTTTTCCTAATATCTAATCTAAACCTCCCCTGGCGCAACTTGAGGCCATTTCCTCTCATCCTATTGCTCGCTACTTGGGGGAAGAGACCAACACCCGCATCACTACAACCAGTTGCAGAAAGCAATAAAGTGTCCCCTCAGCCTCCTCTTCTCCAGGCTAAACAACCCCAGTTCCCTCAGCCGCTCCTCATCAGACTTGTGCTCCAGACCCCTCACCAGCTTCCTTGCCCTTCTCTGGACATGCTCCAGTGCCTCAATGTCCTTGTAGTGAGGGGTCCAAAACTCAGTATTCAAGGTGAAGCCTCACCAGTGCCAAGTACAGGGGAAGGATGACTTCCCTGCTCCTGCTGGCCACACTGTTCCTGATACAAGCCAGGATGCTGTTGGCCTTCTTGGCCACCTGGGCACACTGATGGCTCATATTCAGTCAGCTGTCAACGAGCATCCCCAGATCCCTCTCTGCCAGGCAGCTTTCCAGCCACTCATCCCCAA